TTTGAAAGGTTATAATTAAGTGGTGTTTTTGGGGGGTGGGGGTGGGGGAGTGTCTATTACAATTATGCAACAATCACTAATCTCTAATTTCAGAACATTTTTATTACCTTGAAAGAAACTTATACCTGTTATTGGTCATCCACCAACCCGTGACAACCTCTTATCTACTTTCTATTTCTTTGGATTTGCCTGCTCTGGACGTTGTGTGCATATGAAATCATACATGTGTCCTTTGTATCTTGCTTTTTACTGTTTCAGAGTTCATCTGTGCTGTGGCACATACCAGTACCACATTCGTTTTTATGGTTGAATAATAATTCATTTTCTCGGTATACCACTTTACTGTTTATCCATTTGTGTCTTGATGGACATTTGGGTTGTTTCCACCTTTTGGCTGTTACACAAGTAATGCTGCTGTAAACATTCTTTTTTTCTTTTTTTTCTTTTGGTATCGTTAATGTACAATTACTGAGCAACATTATGGTTACTAGACTCCCCCTATTATCAAGTCCCCACCACATATCCCATTACAGTCACTGTCCATTGGCGTAGTAAGATGCTATAGAGTCACTACTTGTCTTCTCTGTGCTATACTGCCTTCCCGTGTCCCCCCGTGCTACATTATGTCTGCTAATCATAATGCCCCTTTTTCCCCCTTATACCTCCCTTCCCACCCATCCTCCCCAGTCCCTTTCTCTTTGGTAACTGTTAGTCCATTCTTGGGTTCTGTGATTCTGCTGCTGTTTTGTTCCTTCAGTTTTTTTCTTTGTTCTTATGCTCCACAGATGAGTGAAACCATTTGATACTTGTCTTTTTCCGTCTGGGTTATTTCACTGAGCATAATACCCTCTAGCTCCATCCATGTTGTTGTAAATGGTAGGATTTGTTTTCTTCTTTTGGCTGAATAATATTCCATTGTGTATACATACCACATCTTCTTTATCCATTCATCTACTGATGGACACTTAGGTTGCTTCCATTTCTTGGCTATTGTAAATAGTGCTGCAATAAACATAGGGGTGCATCTGTCTTTTTCCAACTGGGCTTCTGCATTCTTAGTGTAAATTCCTAGGAGTGGAATTCCTGGGTCAAATGGTATTTCTATTTTGAGCTTTTTGAGGAACCTCCATACTGCTTTCCACAATGGGTGAACTAATTTACATTCCCACCAGCAGTGTAGGAAGGTGCCCCTTTCTCCACAACCTTGCCAGCATTTGTTGTTGCCTGTCTTTTGGATGGTGGCCATCCTTACTGGTGTGAGGTGATACCTCATTGTGGTTTTAATTTGCATTTCTCTGATGATCAGCGATGTGGAGCATCTTTTCATGTGTCTGTTGGCCATCTGAATTTCTTCTTTGGAGAACTGTCTGTTCATATTCTTCACTCATTTTTTAACTGGATCATTTGCTTTTTGTTTGTTGAGGTGCGTGAGCTCTTTATGTATTTTGGATGTCAACCCTTTATCAGATCTGTCATTCATGAATATATTCTCCCATACTGTTGAACATTCTTGAGATCAAATCTGTGTGCATACCCAGGATGAATTCTCACAAGCAGCCTGCTGGGGGAAATATGTGGGTGTTTTCAGGGTTTTGATATGTGTTGCCAGCCTGCTAGAAATTTTGTGGTTCTGAGCTCTACACACAACAGCCTCTGGATCTTGTCCTGAGCCACTTTCTGGAATCGGAGCCTTTGCAAGACCTTCGTGCCTCCTGAATGGGTCACAAAGATTTTGATGTCAGCCCTTTCTTATTTTGTGTTTCAGCGGGCAAAACTCGAGGCTCGGAAGTTGTTGGGCCCCCAAAAAAGAAAAGGAAGAAAGCGCAAAAGAAATCCCAGGAGCCGGAGGTGAAGGCTGTGGAGTCGAAGGCCAAAGCCCTGGGAAAGAAGTCTCCAGCAGCTTCCAGAGCCAGGAAGCCAGCTGCAGCCAAGGACGAAGAGGCCTCCAGCTCCACCGGGGCCCCTGCAGGTGAGGGGCTTCTGGGATGTGTGGCAGCGCTGGCTGGGATCTGGAAATGTCACTCTCTCTGGTCATAAAAAAAGATGCCATCTGGCGCACGAGGATAGCTGAGACTTCCCAAAGAGCCAGCTTCTGGAGAACAGGTCACAGGGGCTCTGTGGGTGGATGGGCTCCCAGGAAGCGCACAGCGTGGTTGCAGGTCAGATGGCCCTGCAGTCTGGCGGAGCAAGGCCATGTCCCACTGGGGACCTGGAGCAGCTAGCCTTGGGGAGCTTTGCTGCCCTTAAGTCTCTGAAGGGGCGCTCTGAGAAGGGCTGACTTGTTCAGGGGGAGCCCCAGGCTGCCGAAATGGAAAGAAATGGGAGGTGAGTTTGGCGGAGCCTGTGGGAGGTGTTTTATAGCACCACACAAGGATGTGGTGTGATGCCATGTAGCACGTATCCTATCCCGGGTGATGTTTTGGGGGCCACACCAGGTGGAAGAGGTGCAGTGGAATTTACTGGCCCTGCCCTGCAGCCCCATGAGTGACCACGGTGCAGGGGACGGGGCAGTGCATGGAGACTCAGGAGTTGAAGCTGGGCCCAGGGGAGGGGAGGGGAGGGGAAGGCTGGGGGGGGTCTCCTCTCCTCTCAGTTCTCTGACTCCTGCTTATAGATGGCCTGACCGCAGAGCCTGACTCTTTCTTTGCCCTGGATGTCCTGCGGCAGCGGCTGCATGAGAAGATACAGGAGGCGCGGGGCCAGGTAGGTGAGGGGACCTCTGGGTGCCAGAGTGCTATGTTTTCTGCAGCTGTTTCCCAGCTGTGCCTGGAGGAGAGGATCCGTTGGTGCTCTCTGTGGGATTTGCTCCAGCGTTGGTGGCCGCCATGGGCCTGACCAGCACTTCCATGAAACACGGGGCTGCCAGGAGGGCCTCAGTGCCTTTTCCTGCCCCTGCAGTGGGTCCTGCCAGGGCCCTAGCAGCTCTGTTCTTTAGACGTGCAGTGTAGTTCCTGTCATTAGGGGGAGCCTCAGTCCCCAGGGGCGTCATCCTCCTGCAGGCCATGCTGCCCTGTGGGCTCCTCTGTGGCTTTGGAGAGAGGCTTCGCCAGCCTCCCTTTGGGAAGCCACCTTGGCTAAACACCAAACTGGGCAGCACTCTGTCCCATCTAAGTGTCACGATGGCTTTGTGAGGTAGGCAGGGCCTGGGTGAGGTGACCTGCCCAAGGTGACCGCCCTGGGAATCGCTGAGACCTGAACTGGCCTTACTTTGCTGACGGCGCTGACCCTACCACCCAGCCACCACCCGCCCTTTCCCTGGGGACCTCCCCCCCGCAGGCCTCTTGCCGTATCCCCTAGCTTCTTTTTGCACTGCCCTCCCACAGGTTCAGGGACTAGTTCTTAAGGGGCGATGCAGGCTTCGGACCCTGCCCTTCTGCACGCAGGACCAGGCAGAGCTCTCTTGTTGGCCTGGATGGAAGAGTCCGTGGGCAGGAGCAGAGCCGGGCATGTTACCAGCAGAAGAGTGCTGCGGTCCGATTGGTTAGCTCTGTTTAGTTTCCGGCCCGACCCCAGGTGTTGGGGGGGTGGGGGTGGCCTAGCCACGCCCCCTGCCTTTTTCATCTGTTAAAGGGAGGACAGCCTCTCCCATGTGGGGTCATTGGGAGGTTCTCATGAAACCTGCCCTGGCTCCCGGCAGGTGTCTGAGCACCAGCGCCCATGGTTCTTACCGGGTGGTCCCCTTGCGTTCTGGGGAATGGGTCGTCTCGGGGGAGCACTGATCTCCGCGGGCCCTGCCCGGGATGTGCGCACGTGCCTTCCTGCCCTGACTCCACCTGCCAGGCCAGCGGCCCCTGGGCTGGGGGTACCTAATGAGTGAACCCCGTTTCCACCCAGGGCAGCACCAAGGAGCTGTCTCCAGCCATTCTGGAGAAAAGACGACGGAGAAAGCAGGAGCGGGACCGGAAGAAGCGGAAGCGCAGGGAGCTGAGAGCAAAGGCGAAGGTGGCGGCCGCAGTGGAGGCTGCGCAGCCGCCCCCAGGGGCGCCGCGCGAGGAGCAGCGGCCGCAGCCGGGGCTGCTCTTCAACAAGGTGAGACCCCCGCGCGTGGAGGCAACGTGGGCCCACAGCGCGGCGGGTGGTGCGTGGGAGGCGACCACTGACTCGGGTTGCGACTCCCCCCGAGGTGGAGGTGGGCGAGGAGGAGCCGGCCAGCAAGGCGCAGCGCAGGAGGGCGAAGAGGCAGAGGCTGAAGGGGAACTCGGCGCCGCTGGCGGGCAGGAACTACCGGCAGCTGCTGGGGCGCCTGCAGGCGCGGCAGGACCGGCTGGAGGAGCTGCGGCACCGGGACGAGCGCCAGGCGCGGGAGCTGGAGGCCAAGCTCAGGTGGACCGACCAGCTGCACAAGGCCGAGGGGGTGCGCATCCGCGACGACGCGCACCTGCTGCAGCGGGCCCTGCGGCGCAAGGAGAGGCGGCGCGCACAGCGGCAGCGCCGGTGGGAGAAGCGCACGGCGCACGTCGTGGAGAAGATGCAGCGGCGGCAGGACCAGAGGCGGCAGAACCTGCGCAGGAAGCGGGCGGCCCGGGCCGAGCAGCGCCTGGAGAGGGCGCGCAGGAAGGGCCGCGTGCTGCCCCAGGACCTGGAGCGGGCCGGCCTGGTCTGAGGCTGCTGCCCGGCCGCCCTCCTGCAGCCCCATGACTCCATCAGGGGCTTGGGGACTTCTGAGTCATGGGACTGCAGGCATTTCCCCGGGCCGCGAGACGGGCTCCTTGACACAGCCTGGGTGCTGTCACCCACCTTGCAGGCTTGTGAGGGCTCGGGTCATGCGTGTGCAGGGCAGTGTTGAGAGTGGGGCCCAGACCTGAGAGCAGCTCCCATCCTCCTTGGAGGCCAGGAAGCTCCCTGGAAGTTTGCAGGGTGAGGGTCTTGGGGGGCCCTTCCCTGGCCTCTTCCTGCCCCACGTTCGCAGGAGGGAATGGCCCTGTCAGTGCAGAACTCCCCTGGAAGGGGTGGAAATTCAACCGTAGCCTGAGCCAAAGGAGGGGCCAACCCCATTGGTTAAGGAATTGCGTTATCCTTAAGGGTTTTAGGAAGGGTCAAAATTACAAAGTTTAACTTAAACACATTCGTTAAAGATTCTAAGATCACCGCCAAGAGACAGTAAGTGCTAAACTAGGGGGAAGGAAAAACCAAACAGAACGGGGTAGGAAGAAGAAAATCTAGAAGAGGGTGTAAGGGCAAAAGCCTAGCACTGCTGGTGCTGAGTGGGAGGTGCAAAGAGACGTGGCAGGGTTACATTCCGACCGCCGACCGCCGGTGAGTGCAGACCGCGGCACTGGTGAGTTTTACGGTGTGTGGGTTACATTTCAATAAAGCTATCTATGAAATTCTTTTGACTAAACTCCGGTTAAGAAACATGACCGAAAGGAGGCTGGTTGCTATACAAGTAGGCAGAGCAGCCTTTATTTAAGACAAGGAGCGCTGCTCAGTGGCAAGAATATCGGCACCCAGGGGTTCAGTTCACCTGGAAGGTACTGCAGTTTTAATGTGCACCAATAACATGGCTTCAAATATACTTACTGGAAACTCACAGCTACAAGGAGAAATCACAAACAATTTAGATCCTCACAAATTGATACATGCAACAGACAAAAATCATGGATGTGGAAGATGTGGGTGATAGTTGATAAACTTGAGCAAATGGATGTGAAACAGTGTATCTGAGTGACGTACACACTTGTAAAGCAAATGGGGAGCAATGATGGAAACAGCCCACTAGGCAAGTCATATTTCAGAGAACCAATGTCATAAAGTGTATTATGTGGCACAGCACAATTTAGTTAAAAAACAAGAGGTGATGGTTAAAAGTTCACATTTGGAAGTTGAGAAACACTTCTAAATTAACTGTGAGTCAAAGAGTTCCTAATGGATGTTAGAAAGTAATTAGGACTGAACACTCATGAAAATGCTATGCATTAGAGTGTGTGGGATGGAGCTGAGGCAGTGCTGGTAGCCTTAGAAGTGTTTGTGGTGGTGACTGGAATCCGCACAGCCACTGTATAAAGGGGAGGAGAGTTTATTCAGTCTTAACTGAGGACCATGACCAAGGATGACAGTTGATCAGAGAGCTCTGATCGTCGTCGTTTTCACAGACGGAGCCTGTTCTCACCGGCTGCACCACTTCGTGCGCCTGTCGTTGATTTAACTTAGGAATCAGTGCTGTTAGCAGTGGTGTAAGTTACAGCTGCTCATTCCCATAAGTTTTCCCTAAGTGTGTCTCTTGAGCTTCAGCAGCTGATACAGTCGGCTGTGTTTTCAGAGCCACTTTGGATTTTATCTCCAGATTAAGTAGCAAGGCTGAGAGGCTTGGCTGGGTAAAGACACAGGCCCTTTCTCATAACAGATCGTGCATTATTTGCCCTGATTTTTAAAATTTTTATCCAGCCAGTGGTTAATCGCTTTATTCCGTTTCCATGCCAGCCCCCAGCCTGTTTTTTCCTCCTGAAATAGCATTTTCTTAAGCTTCCTGGCTTGAGGCAGGAATTCCTGTTCTCAGTTGTGGCAGCATTCATTAAACAGTGCTGCTGTTTGACCTAGTCTACCTAGCTCAGTCCCTAAACCTACAAGATCACTGCTCAGCTGGGCTGGGCCAGTGTTGGTTTATCCACCAGATACATTAGTTCCACTGAGGCATTATCATTTGGCTACACTTTGGATACAACGTGTTGACCCAAAAAGATGGAGTTTCCCAGACCAGGTACAAATGGGTTGTTGCAAATCCTAAATACAGACTGGTTTGTGTTTACCAAGGGCTTCCCACAGGCATCTTGTGTGAATTTGGGGAGGACAAATACCTGTGGGTGTCCACATTACTCCAATAGAATTTAGTTGACTTGGTGTTTTTCCTTTAACCAAGATGGGCCCACCCACAAAAAGAAGAGGAAGGAGTGTGGGGGGACCTGGCACGGTGACAGGAAACACGAGGTGTAGTTAAAGGATTTCCATCAGTATATCCTGGTAAAGCTTTAAGAGGTTGGTCAGCATCAATTTCTAGAGCTGCGCAGTATCTCTGAAAGCTGTCCTTCTCTTTAGTCCGCGCAGTTTCTCTTCCAGTCGTATTACCAGGCAGGACTTCACTCTAGAGGCCTGTGCCAGTGAATTCCCTGTGTAATACATATACCCTGTGATGTTGGAACTGATAGGAAGATTAAGTATAGGTTCGCATAAAGTGGGTCCCAAGCTCTGAGTCCTGGCATTATACATGACTATTTGACTTAATGAATCAAATGTGCTTTCCCATTTGAGATCCTAAAAGGTGGCTTTTTTTTAAGAGAGCATTTTAGTTTCTTTGGGGCCAAACGAATGAGCCAGTTTGGGCAGGCACATGGGCTGGCACCAGTCCCATAAGGAAGTAAAGACGAGAAGGAGCCACTCAGGTGTCACTGGCCTGGTCCGGACTTGGGAAAGCTGTCTGTGCCCACCGCTGGGTTCTTCTCATCCTCGTCTTGGTGCCATTTCAGTCTTAGATCTGATATTCTTTCTGCAGACCACCCCAGAGCAGGTGCCCTTTCTAAGTGAGGAGCATGGGTCCAGGAGTCAGTACCCTGTAATTTTGCTGCACAAGAGTTAGGAGGACCTGGGAAGGTCCTGTCCATTTGGGTTGTAAGGAATTTTTCAACTGGTGACATTTCCAGTATACATCGTCCTCTGGGTGGAAGTCATGAGTCTGAATTTCCTCCCATGTAGGTAAACTTGTGTCATAGGCATCAACACCTAATTTTGAGTGTTCTTCGGGAGCTTAGCTCTGTTTACAATAATGCGCTGTATCCCCTGTAGCAGTGTGGGTTCGTACAGCCCCTCATCCGTTCTCATTAGGACTGACCGTAATAATTTCAATAGGTGATAGTTCATGTCGACTAAAAGGTGTCGATTTTAGATTGTTAAGCAGCAGGAAGAGCTTTTCGGCCATGGCAACGAGAAAGAATAAGTTTGCCACCTGGGTTTTAATTAGGCTGTTTGCCTTTCTACTAGGCCTGATGACTGTGGGTGATAGGCGCAGTGGAAATGTTGAAAAACAGGCCGCGTTTTACAGATTTCTTTGATAATTTGTCCTGTGAAATGAGTTTCTTGTCCAACAGGAATTCCCTGTGGGAATGATTTAATCCAGTAATCATTTGCTTACTGTTTGGTCCATCGCTCTGTTTGGACAAGGAAATGCTTCAACCCAGTGAGAAAACGTGCAAATCATGATTAGTACATATTGATACCTAGCGAGGGAGACAGTTTTATAAAATTCAGTTGCCAGGCTTTGAAAGGTCCGGCTGCCCAAGGAAGAATTCCCTTAGGATTATGTAAGGGTCTCCCAGTATTATATTTAGAGCAAGTCAGATATTTAGCATATACTTTTTGTGCTGTTGTGAAGGAAGGCTTCCAAAAATATTGTTTTCCCGTAACATCATCTTATCGGGTCCCCAGTGCATCAAATCATGTATATATTGTAAGAAAGGGGAGTATTGACTGTTGACTTGGCCCAACCCATACATTTTTGAGAGAGTCAAATGTTCCCTCTATTTGAATCCATAATTGTTTTTCCTTTTCTTCTGCAGATTCTTTAAATTAAGCAGGATTTGGTTAAATGAATGGGGGAAAAAGTACAGGTTATTGTTGGGGAAGTTACTGGCTGTACAGCCGCCCTTTTTGCAGCGTGATCGGCCAGTTGATTTCGTGTTATTTGATGGTGTCTGCTGTGGAATGTCCTTGAATCTTTATTACGTCCAGTTCTCCTGGAAGGAGTATATCTTGCAACAAGGCTGCCACCTGTTTTGCATATTTGATAGGTTGTCTGTTGAGGTTAAGAAACCTCTTTGTTTCTAGAGCTTTCTGAAATCATGCGCCACACCAAATGCATACTGTCTATTGGTATAAATATTTGCTGTTGCTCCTTTGGCCAATTGGCAGGCTTTGGTTAAAGCTTTAAGTTCAGCCTGCCATGCAGAATGAATTTCAGGTAATGGGACACTTTTGAGGACTGGTACCAGTGAATACCACTGATACTGCGTATCCAGCCTGGTATTTCCCATTGGGTCCTTTAAGGTAGGAACCATCTCTAAATAAAACAAGTTCAAGTGTTCCCTCTTTTTAAGATCTGTAACTTTTTTCTTTTCTGTGCAGACTTTTGAAATTAAAGAATGATTTGATAAAATTGGTGGGGAAGAAAGTACAGGTATAACCCCTGTGACCGTGACAGAGAGGAGCGCTGGCCATTCCCAGGAGGACTTGGAGGCCAGAAGCAGTCCAGCTCAAAGTGTGTCCCCCGGAGCTGACATGCAGGGAGAGAAGGTGACGCATGTAAGAGGCTGTCAGGTAGCATTTGGAGCACCCCATTTCTAGAAACAGCAGCGAACAATAGGAGACACACTGTAGGGAAGAAAACGTGAGGAAATGTGGAGAATTCATCATCTGGTGATACATGTTGGGGGTAGAGCCCAACTCCAAGCTTAAGCACTGAAAATAGCCCACCTTTACCTTTCCGGACACCCTAACCTCAGCTGGCAGCTGATGCACAGAGGCCAGGGCAGACAGCATGCAACGTATTTTGGTGGCAGGTGGCAAAAAAAGCATTTCCTGTCCAGAAGCAACAGTGGACAAAACAGTATGGACAATAGGGAAGAAAAGGTAAGAAAACTGCAGAATTGAGTCTGAGTGGCCTGGTCTACACCTCTCCGGAGTTGTGTCACCTCAGGTGCAGGAACATGAATGCCTGCTGTGGGCCTAAAGTCAGAAGCATTTCTAGAGCCAACTGGCAAGAGTCTCCAAACCAGAAGGTCTCCCTCCTGCTGTCCAGCATATTAGATGGAAATAACAGGAATACATAATACTCAGGACCTGTGGTTCACTAATTGCATTGCAGCACGCTGAGGGAAACCTCCGCGAAGGAAAACCTCCCTGGAAAGGAGTCCGCTGGCCAGCAGGGGCGCTTCCTTGCTGGAGCGCCCCACAGCAATGGCAGGACCCCAACAGCAAAGTGTTCCTTGCTGCTCCTACGAGAAATCGACAACCCCTGCTACTCAGTCCCTGAGGAACTGTCACCACCCTGAGCTCCTGCCCTTCTCCTGTGGACTTTCATTCAAAACAACCCCTCGCACCTCCCGCCTCCATTGTTAAATTGGCCTATGTTGTTTGCCTTAGCTTGCTTGGCCTGCATCATAATTCTATGCTACTCCTAAATAATCCCATTTTGTACTTAATTTTATTTTTAAGACTTGCTGGGCTAGCTAAGACCTTGTGTGGTTTTCAGTTCTCTCAGTCTTGTAGCTGGAAACTAGATGAGAGATTTTTTCTACACAGTAATAGTCCCTGATTCTCAATCTGTGTCTTGAGCTAAAAGTTTGAGACTTTGAGCCTATCGTTTCCCATCAACTACCCAGAACTGTTCAGGAAGCCACTCCACCCTGCAGCCCTTGGGTCTCTCACTCCTTTCCCCTGGCTTTATGGCTGTGTTCAGCAAGTCTCTCAGAGGCTGGCCTTCAAAAGGCATTTGTGTCAAGAGACCGCATCTCAGATTAGTCGCTTTGTAGCTGTCTGCCAGTATGTCTGCTGTCCCATCCTTAATACTCACTAAATTTGGTCTACCATCAGCTAAAATCCAGCCAGGTAACAAATCCCAGATTTTCCTTGTTTTCAGTCATGACAGGTCGTGTTATGTCGCATTAACAAAAGTACCTTTTAATAAATAAAATCAGTAGTTTAAAACCAGATTGATCACTGGATCAATCAGCAACTAGGAATAGAGAACTTCCTCAACTGGATAAGGAACATTTACTAAAACCCTACAGATAATGTCATACTTAGTGGTGAGAAACTTGAATTTTTCCTATAAAGATGAGGAAATGCAGTAAGACAAGATAAGGAAAAAAAAGGTATGCAGATTGGGAAGGAAGAATGCAAATTGTCTTTGTTTGCAGATGACATGATAGTCTATGTAAAATACCCAACAAAAACCAACAAAACACCAGAACTAAGAAGCGATTGTAGTGAGGTCGCAGGATACAAGGTCAACATGCAAAGGTCAGTTGTTTTCCTACATACTAGCAATGAACAAGTGGAATTTGAAATTAAAAACGCATTACCATTTACGTTAGCATCCAAAAAACGAAATATTAGGTATGAATCTAACAAAACAGGTATAAGAGCTACAAGAGGAAAATCCCAAAACTGACAGATACCAAGTAAGAACTAAGTGGAGAGCGATTCCCTCTTCATGGATAGGAAGCCTCCGTGTTGTCGATATGTCACTTCTTCCCAATTTGATGTACAGATTCCATGCAATCCCAGCAAGTTATTTTTGGGTGTTAATAAGCTGATTGTAAAGTTTATGTGGAGGGGCAAAGGACCCCAAATAGCTGACTCAATGTTGAAGGAAAAGAACACAGCCGGAGGCCACTCTCCAACTTAGAGACATGAGAGAACTACATCAATCAAGATAGTGTGGTATTGATGAAAAGGTAGACAGACAGATCAGCAGAACACAATAGAGAGCCCAGAAACAGACGCACATAAATACAGCCAACTGATCTTTGAAAAAGGGCCCAGGAAATACAATGGAGCAAACATCACCCTTTCAGCAAACGGTGCTGGAATAACTGGACATCCACGTGCAAAACAAACCTAGACACAGGCCATACACCTTTCACAAAAATTAAATCAGAAGGAGTCATTGACTCAGGTGTGAATTTCAAAACCAGAAAACTAGACAATAGCATTGTAGAAAATGTAAATGACCTTGGGTATGGTGATGATTCTTTTATACACAATATCAAAGGCAAAATCCATGAAAGAAATAATTGATAATCTGAATGTCATTAAAATAAAGACCTTCTGCTCTGTGAAAGACAACATCAAGAGAATGAGAAAGACTGGGAGAAAATATTTGCAAAAGACATATCTGGTAAAAGGATTGTTATCCAAACTACACAAAGAACTCAAAACTCAACAGTTACACTTGAACGACCTGATAAGAAATGGGAAAAATACGTGGATAGTTCACGAAAGAAGATATGCAGGTGGTGGATAAGCACATGAAATATGCTCAATACCATCTGTCATTAGGGAGCTGCAGATCAAAATAGCAATGAGGTATCAGTACACACCTGTTAGAATGACCAAAACTCAGAACACCGACATCACCAAGTGCTGGTGAGGATGTGGAGCAACAGGGTATTTTTGGGTATTAATAAGCTGATTGTAAAGTTTATGTGGAGAGACAAAAGACCCCAAATAGCTGACTCCAAATACAGCATCCAAATAGCAGCAATGCATTCATTGCTGGTGGGAATGCAAATGGGACAGCCCACTTCCTACAAAACTAAACATCATTTTTTTATGATCCAGCATTTGGTGTTTACCCAAATTAAGTGAAGACTTATGTCCTCACAAGTCCTGCACCTGGATATTTATAACAGTTTAATTTATAATGGCCCAAACTTAAAAGCAACCAAGATATCCTTCAGTAGGTGAACAGATAAGTAAGTGCTGGTGCATTCAGACATTAGAGGGTTATTCAGCATTAAAAAAAATAAGGCGGGCTCGCAGGAAGTCGGGAACATGGTGGGGGGCGCAGTTTGCAGGGAGGGACAGAGGAGACCGAGGGAGGCGCGGCACAAAGGTCCTGTAGGCCTGGGGAGGGTTTTTTTGATTTGTAAGTGAAGCGAGAGGCCACAGGAGCTTGAGCAAGGGAGGGACATCTGAGATGCCCAGAACATCAGCGCCGTCACCACCATAGCTGGAGTAATGTCACTTACAAGAAGTGTTCGAGTGACATCAACATTTATGAGTTCTTCAGATATTCCACTAGAATTTATAAGAAGGAATGTTAAACTACAGAGACGAGTATGCCGAATAACAGAATGGTCTAGAAATTAAGCATATTCCCATGACTTTACCTATTGTACCTTCTTGGAGAAAAAGTCATGTGGTGTTTTGCTGGTTAAATTGGCCGGAATAGAACTCACTGAATTTGGGAAGGTGCGGTTGCAAAAAGAGCTAAAACCTTCCCATTTACTATGGTTTCAACTGCTTGGAAGGGAGAATTCAGCACTGTTTTGCTATCTTTTAGTGAATAAGGGTAGATATTTTAGTGTGAATCTGAATGAAGAAATTTTGAGAAGAGGCCTTGGCAAAGTTGTCCTTGTTGAAGGGCTAAATTATGATTCTAAAATCTATTGGAAAATTCACAGAAACTTATTTAAAGCTGAATTAACAGCCTTAAAAAAAGGAGAAGGAATATGGAAGAATCTGAAAAGGAAACTTACTTGGAAAAATTCAAAGGTTCCTGGAGAGAAATATGGAAAAAAGACAGTTATTTTTTAAAAATTGAATCAAATTTCAACTTTAAATAAGAAAGTTATGACAAATTTAGATGGACTTACAAAACATGGAAAGACAACATAAATAACTACTCCTTAATACTGAAGTTCAGAGAACTTGTGAGTCGCATACACTTTGGTAGAAAAGGGTGAGATATTCCAAGAGGCTGGAGGTGATGTGCTCTGAAAGGAGCAAAATATGTAAATATATGGATATGTTTCATCGAGTTGAAATGGAAATTTCATCAGTGATCAAAGGTGCATTCTAATAGTATTTAAATATTTCAGAGATGCTTAATATAAATGCAATATCAGAATAGTTTAAACAAATCATGACTCATGTAATATGCTTTTAGGAAAAATGGAACATTCTATAAAAGGTTACCAAGTTGAAGGATATACATGTCATGCTAATATTTGAAGAGAGAGTTTAACGATTGGCCAAATAGTGTTCTTTTAGTTATTTTGGGAAGCCATATTTAATTTTGTTTAAAAGGAATATTTTCTAATTTTGTCAGCTTTGCTTGCTTATAATAAAGGACTCTCTTTATAAAAAAAAAAAAAAAGAAATGAGCCACAGGTTATGAAAAGCCATGGAGGAACCATAAGTACACAATTCTAAGTGAAAGAAGCCAACATAAAAAGGCTATAAACTGAATGATTCCAACTATATATGACTTTCTGGAAAAGCAAAACTATGGGGACAGTACAAAGATCAGTGACTACTGGGGTTCAGCGGGGAAAGGGACAAATAGGCAGAGTTCAACGGCGGT